CTTAACTCCTGACAAACAATGACCACACTAATAAATAACATAACTAATTTCTACTTAGTAAAGATTTGTAAACTTAAACAACATTCCCAAACTGAATTTTGATTTTAAAAAAAATTGTAAAATCACAATAACTAATAAATGCCTTGACAAAAGAAAATTAACTCCTACTGGTAAAATTCATATAATTAAATCATTATTGGTATCAGTTATTTGTTTATATCCCTTCTAAATCTCAGTGAAAAGGTGATTAAGGAAATTCATTCCATACTTCTTGAATTTTCATGGAATAGTAAAACAGATAAAATTAAAAGAAATGCTGTTGTTCAAAAATATAATGATGGTCGATTTAAGATGGTCAATTTTAATGCTTTTATTGATGCTCTTAAACTGCGGCGGGTAAGGAGACTATACAACGGTGAAGTGAAGTGTAAATTCATTTTGAAAGCCAAAATCAATATGGATGTATCGATGAATATTGGCGATGAATACATAACAGAATGTAGTAATATTTGTTCTAACAATTTTTGGAAAGATGTGTTTAAATCTTAGAATCAATTGAATACTTCAAAAGAAATTGGGGAACTTGATGAAAGATCACTGTTAACCCAAAATATCTGACATAACATAAATATTACTATTGCAGGTAAATCAGTCTTCCATCAATCATGATATAAGTCAGAAATACACACTATTTCAGATCGGATAAAAAATACAGATAACTTTTCCTTCAATACTTTTGAAGAACTTTCAGAAAAATATCAATTCATACAAACTTTCTTTAAGTTCATGGATTAATATCTGCTATTCGCAAATATCTGCCGACCTCTTTATCAACAAATTTGAAACCAGTTATTTGCCCACTCTTACCTCCACATATGATTAGCATTTGTAACTTTTGGATCCAATTTTTTCATCAACATTCTTAATCAAAATGATATTATAGGTAAAGGTAGAGTAAAACGGCAAGAACAGTTCCTGTTTGATCAAAGATAATAGAATGAAATTGATACAATTCGGTATAAAATCACACAAAAAAATACTAGATATTAATGGCTTCAGTTTCAAATATCACACCATATTCTTACCACAAATTCGAAACTGTTCAAAGTAGGTGTAGTTGCTTGTCTACTGTGTTCATTTTTTAGTTCAGAAAGGGAAATTAAAAATCACTTAATGTGGAAATACAAGGAAGTACAAAATATACTACAAAGTCTAGAAAGAAACACTCCTAGATGTTATTTATATACCTTTTTCAATCAACAAGCAATTCTCTTCCTATTCTGGTTTATTAATGATAGTCTTAATTCTGCTGTGGATAATGTAATCATTCTTATCATTAAACAATGTATCTATAGAAACAGATGTCTTAATAAGTCTTTAAATGTCAATGTTTTAGTCAACAATGTGAAAGATTACTATTACTTACAAAAGCCTATAGCAAATAGTAAAAACGACTTTTTGAAAGACAGAAATGGAAATACTTGGAGTAAATGGGAAAACTACACTCGATATCTAAGCATTTTCACCTAAATGTCCTTGACATTCCTCAAGTAACACAGCAAACAAAACAACCCCCACATCTTACATCTTCAAACTCATCTCCCCTTTCCTCTAGGTTAGCAATGTCTAATATTTTTCTATTATGTTGTCTTCACTTTCATTTCTCTACATATTGGATTCTGTGATATGCAAGTACATGTGTATGTAAATGAAGTATGTATTTGCATAATTTAATACACTGAATGTATTTTATGTGTGTAAGTATTCATGTGTACATGTCAGTATTAAATGTGTGTGGTGTGTTTATATGTGAACCACTATTAAGATGGAAATTACTAAATGGATTATACTGTGAATTGATTCATTTTGTATATAAGATGACTTGAAATTAGAAAATTAAGAAAAACAAGAGTTCCGCAAGCGTTACAAAATACGCCCGTCCTATGCTGAGCAACCACAATTGGATGAATTTCAGGCAGATAATTCCATTTAATTGCTTTTGCGTAAGTTATTGAGCGGAAACATTTTTTGTAATAAACCTTCATATGAAGTTTCAAATCAATAAATGAAAAGTTATTCAAGTTATTGAGGGGAAACTTATTTTGTAAATGTACCAAGGGCCATAAATCTGTAAATAATGGGCGAAAAACTTTTGTTATCGAACTTGACCTAGCTTTTATGGTAATAAACGTTCATATGAAGTTTCAAATTAATAAATGAAAAGTTATTCAAGTTATTGAGGGGAAACCTTTTTTGTAAATGATGGGCGAAAAAATGTTGTTATCGAACTTGACCTGGCTTTTATGGTAATTAACCTTCATGTAAGGTTTCAAATTGATCTATAAAAAAATATTCGAGTTATCGAACGGAAACCTATGTGCGGCCGTGGGATTTGCTCAGAGAAAACGGCTCCAGAACACTGACTTTCGTCGGTGAGACGATACCTGGACACGGGCGGAGTTACGGAGACGGAAATCCTGTCAACCATCAACCTTTTTCGGCGGAAACCAATCTCTCGATGTCTTCATTTGCATATACTCGTTTTCTCCTATAGTACTTGTTTATAGATTACATAGAAATGTTTGTGTAAGAAGTCTGGGCAGTAATACTGTATCTTTCAGTGTGTAATTATATGAAGTAAAATAATCAAAAGACGGGGGTACGCATGTGAAAATAATATTCATAATTCAAATTTACTAGACTTGGAAGTACAATTAGTATATGAATTTGTTTTAATTAATTTCATTTTTTTTTAAATTTGACTGGTCATTGTACGTCGATGTTTTTTAATATACGTTTTGATATACATTGACTTGTGCCCTGGAACGAAAAGAAAACTAAATAAAATTTACTTCTCTGATGACTAAGGCGGATGTACCAGTTTGTTTCTATGAATGACCCTTTAATGGATATATCCGGAGACGTATTGTCATGTCGGTACAACACAGTAAAACGCGTGCCCTGGCACGGCCCTACCACACCATCACGGCCTAATATTACACCAATTATTTCCTTGTAGATGGTTGTGTTTATAAATAAGAATAAAGATAAATGAAAAGGGACATCGTGTCTCTTTAAAGATATAATAATCATTGACACCTCTTTGATGCAACTAGCGCTGTTGGCCAGTAATTAATATTGCCAAAGCCGGCGTATGAAAATAAACATAAAGCCATGTCTACGTGTGTAGTGCTCTCTAGGAACAACAGGTACATAGGACTGTATAGGACGGTTTAGTTTGCTGAAATTGTTTTACTTTAACGAAGGGGGAAGTTTTTAAAACACTTATACACATTTCCCCATAATAGGCTCACCCCTCCTCTAAAATGGGATGTACCATTTGTTGAAAACCAAGGATGCCTTCAGTTCCAACATCAGAGAGCTTTTAAAAAATGCTTTCCTTCTACTTCTTGCCCCTCCGGCCCCAGTGGGCCGGAACTCACTGTCCATACAAAATTGATGCTTCAGGTCAAATTGGGAAAAACATCCAGGTATGTCTACAGAAGAAGAAGGCTTTTATAAAATTTGCTCTATTTCCACTATTAGGCTCTGCCCCTAGTGTCCGAAAGGACAGAAACCAAAAGTTTATTAAAAAACTGACTTCTCTTCATCAAAGGATGATTCAGGCCAAATATGGGCAAATCTACTAATTTCTACAGGAGTAGGATTTTAAGATTTTGCTCTATTTCCCCTTTTCAGCTCCGTCCCTCTTGCCCCGGGGGAGGGTGTGTGTGTTTCAGACACACCGTTTATGATAAGTTTCCTTCGCCCAAGCATGCTTCAGACCAAATTTGAACAATATCCTGCAATTTTTAAAGAGCGAGATAGATTTCAAAGAATTTGATAGCTTTTCCCTATTCGATTTCGCCTCTCTGTCCCCCAAGTGGACGAGACCAAACATTTATACAAAACTGATTTCTCGTAACCAAAGGATGCTTCAGATCAACTTTGATTAAAATCTACTCACTCGTTCATGACTAGTTGTTATTTCTATAAAAAACAAAGTTGACGACAGCAACGGACGAAGCATTATCCTTATAGTTCACGCGGCTTACGGGTCATGTGAGCTAAAAAATGTAAACGTGGCATAGGAATGAATTAGTGGACGGTTTCATCATCATATAAGATATGTGTAGCAGTAAACAAATAATTTTGAAAAAAAACTGAATATAAAGAAAAGAGAGAGTAAGGAATCAAATATTGATTTCCATTCATAATCTGGATTCCTAGACCTGTTAATTCAAATTAGATCTCTTAGATAATAATAACAATAATTCACTGCAATAAAAGCCGTTTTTGTGTAACTACAGAAATTAAACTCCACATTAATATGTTTTACATTAAAAACTGTACATTAAATGCGGTTATCGCAATGAAATCGTATGTATGGATTCCGTAATCCATGTCACCACCATTTGTAAATGGGTCGGCGAATAATGGAAACACTGTACACATATGAGATATCCTAGCCAGACAGGTGTAGTTTCTGTTTCCATTCAGACATACATACATACATGTAATACACATGGATAAACACACGGAATGGAGACCTAGTTTTCAATCATCTAATAATTTCTTCGACACTTTGACAATAACAATTAATTTCAAACTTTACGAATTCACACAATTAGTCTAGTCATGTGGTGTTCAGTTTTTTTCACTTCGTTACCAAACAAATCCAATCGACAAGAGGTGTACTTAGCAGGTTGATATCTGAATTGAGTCAACATCGTGTGTTATGACCTTCACACCATCTCGTTTAGTGTAAGATGGGAAATAGAAATAATGACCTTTCCTCTATATCAGTCAGGCTAAACGAATTTACTGTATGTGATCTTGATATAAAGTCTGCCAGTCATAATCGATGTTCTCATGAAAATCATATTAACTATATGACCACACTGATATTACATCTATGATTTTTTTTTTATTTTGTGTGGATACGAAAAATATTGATCAATGCAACTGTAGCTATGCATTGTACAACGTGTTTATGATATTTATTTGTATTGTAGTATCTTCATTCTGTTGTTCCAGTGTCCGATCCAGAAGGTACCGTCCTCGTGTAGACTGATACACCAAGGTGTACTTTTGTCAGATGTATAAACAGCTCTCTTACAGCGTCCAGTGTTCCTGTCAATCAGTAGTACTGACTTGGTGATCAATTCCGCTACAAGGATATCACCAGCTCCGTCAAAACAAACATCGTACGGATAAAACTTTGATGACTGAGTAGAACTTCGGTTTGGGTTGGCCGTACTGAAGTCTTTACAGTGAAACTTTAGGTTGAGGTGTTTATCCATCACGATGACGTACATTTGTTTGTCTGGTTCCTTATCCGCCATGTAGTCGTCATACGACATGCCATCATTGTCAAAAACAGCTACGTCACCGGTCTGTTTACATGACGTCATGTGATGAGGCATTACTGCGACCTGTCTACAAAGACCTCCCGCTCTAGATGATACCGCCCGTCCGTCTGTAGTGAAAAGTTGTATTCCTCCCTTCATCCCCACCACTACCATGTCATCACTGGTGATACCAAGAGAAAGTGGCGTGTCGGTGACGTAAAATCGTTTAACAATATCACCACCTGTCGTGATTTCCCGGATACTTCTGTCATCAAGCACACAGAACCACACCCTGCCCGTGGTCTGGGATACAGATATCGATTGGACATTGACCTTACAATCGATCTTCTCCTTCACTGTGCCTTCAGTATCCACTCGGTACACACTATCACTATCCCAGTACGATAACCACGCCTCGTCACCAGTAAGACCTGTACGACATACATCGTAAGGAAATGATGGTGTAAACTCGTCAAGAACCACGGGGGTCGGAATCGGTTTGTACGACTGATCCTCTCCGTCGACTAGTATCTTACCGAACATATGTTCCAGCAGTTCAGTAGATATGCTTCCGGGTTTGAATTCCACTGTGTGTAATCTACCGTGAATAGGTGGAGCAGTGGAGGTATTCCTGATTTCCTGCACTAACGTTGTGACGTCAGCTGTTATCCCTGATGCCAGTATTTGTTGACATCTATCAAGTTTCGGTTTCAAGTCTTCTCTAAGATATCCGTGTAATTCTGCTTTATTTTTCTCAGAAATAGTCGCATTTAATTTTTCCAACTCGGTACATATGTTCACAAACATATCGATATTCTTGTCGATATCGTCTTTCATTTTTTCCCCCTGACGTTTAATGTCTCTGATAACTGCCTGATATTGTACTCCGTTTGTCTCATTCTCCCGAATATCTTCCTCAACTTTCGGAATGTCGACCTTGGAGAGTTTGTCAATATACTGTTGTATTTCCCGTTTCTGGCTCGTCACGTATTCAGTAAGTTTCCCAAATGTGTGGCCATTGTGAATGTCTGTAACACACTCCACACAAATCAACTGATCGTTACACGATTTACAGACATAAACAAATCCCATCCCCTGATGGCGGGGACAACCAGGTACTGCCGTCTGTGCCGCCATGTTGTCATGGGTGACAGCGGAGGACTTTATAGTCCTGACAGTAGTTTTTCAATATGGCGGCTGTTCTCCGAAATAAGTCGTCTTCCGGGAATCTGACAACATGTTCTATTTAAGGTAACAAGGAAGTATTATGAACTATACTGGTGTCACGACGGAGAATTTAGATATTTTTCCAGTAAGCAAGAGACACGGCAATAATTTATTGCATGGCTGATTTTACTCGATAACAGGTTGATAGTGTTATAAAAAAAAATCCTAGTAGAGAGGATGTTTTGTTTAATGGTATATTTAGGTCGGTTTGATTCAGTTTCTTCGCAGCACATGGATTTAAACAAAAAGTCAGTGCGAATTAGACAGGATTCATTAGTGAATTTGGGATTAGCTAACGAATATATACAATGATATACTCTAAGTTATGGTCAATAATCGAGATTCATTAATTGATCTAATCATTTCAAATCATTATAGATATAAGACATTTAAGATATGGTTGGCACAAAATGGTCAGTATGAAGCTCTAATTAGGTATCTTGCCGGCACAATGCTTCATTAAGAGAATGAGAGCACATATCTTCATATTAACGTTTTAGTTCAGTTAAACAAGTACACTGTATATTTCAGGGAATGAAGTTTGTGTTTAAACTGTGAACGTTCTATCCTATCACCTGTTACGGTCATTTAAGGACGCTCTCTCTATGTATGCGAGGTGTGTGGATGTTTGAATGCTTATGATCATATAATGCCTGCCTCCATTACGTGCATCTTTCTTTAGAAGGCTGAGTTATGTTCGTGTAAGGCATCTCGGAATTATACAGGACTGAGACCGATTTTATTGTTCTACCAATTTTCTTAATCAATTTGGAACTGACTTTCGATTTTTTTCTTTCTAACCAGCATTCGTCCTTTTTATCCATCATATGTAAATTAACTATACGTTTCCTCTCGCTCTCTACAAATTTATATGCGAGTCACCTCCCCTTCCTTCACTGTAGCTTGTTCTAAATTCGGTGGCAAATTTACAGCAATTTAACTAATTTATCCTCACATTGGTTACTTTAGTTAATGGTAAAGAAAAACATTCCGTCTGATGTTATTTCTAATGGAAATATGTTTGACAAACTAAAACTTTAATATGTTTTGGCATTTTTTAAACAGTAACCAAAAACGAATTCATCCTAAAATTTTATTTATCATTTGAAAGCATTTTAAGTTCGGAATTTCAGCCCAAAACTATAAGTGAAATTTACATCAAATAAACAAAAAATGTGTCATATTCTTTTTAATTTTTAAAAAATCCAGAAAATGTGTTGACGATCTTAACAGTCCAATGATTAATGTATTGAAAAAAACAATAAACTAAAACTTTTAACTGAAGAACCACATGAACATATGGATTGATGGGGGTGGAGGCATTGTAGTCGCTGAACCTGATACTGAAATTAATGTAACTATGTACACAGTATCAACAAAACACACAGCAGACTAGGACTGATGGTTTGGAAAAACCCCAAAATATGGTCCACCAATACAAACCAAAGTACTTGTTAAATCAGTAATGTATGCAATATACATCAATATAAACAAAAGCATGTACCCGAGGAGTGTATTGCAACACTGCAAAGTTTCAAATGTGTTCACTTTTTATATTTTTATTCATTTTTCCATCAACATGTGTAAAAGTCCTGGTGTCTGCCGCCAGCCTAGCTTCTTATAGTGATTTTTGTTCGCACAACTCTGTGGTTCCGTCTCGGCTTAAAGCTGGCTACACATCAATGAATAAAAGCTTGTGTGATCAAGTTCAACATTTTATTATGTACACGATGCCACAGGGATGAGAAGATTAAATGTGATGAAAAAAATATGAAGAACATGAATATAATCTCACCGTACGCCCCTTAACTCCTGACAAACAATGACCACACTAATAAATAACATAACTAATTTCTACTTAGTAAAGATTTGTAAACTTAAACAACATTCCCAAACTGAATTTTGATTTTAAAAAAAATTGTAAAATCACAATAACTAATAAATGCCTTGACAAAAGAAAATTAACTCCTACTGGTAAAATTCATATAATTAAATCATTATTGGTATCAGTTATTTGTTTATATCCCTTCTAAATCTCAGTGAAAAGGTGATTAAGGAAATTCATTCCATACTTCTTGAATTTTCATGGAATAGTAAAACAGATAAAATTAAAAGAAATGCTGTTGTTCAAAAATATAATGATGGTCGATTTAAGATGGTCAATTTTAATGCTTTTATTGATGCTCTTAAACTGCGGCGGGTAAGGAGACTATACAACGGTGAAGTGAAGTGTAAATTCATTTTGAAAGCCAAAATCAATATGGATGTATCGATGAATATTGGCGATGAATACATAACAGAATGTAGTAATATTTGTTCTAACAATTTTTGGAAAGATGTGTTTAAATCTTAGAATCAATTGAATACTTCAAAAGAAATTGGGGAACTTGATGAAAGATCACTGTTAACCCAAAATATCTGACATAACATAAATATTACTATTGCAGGTAAATCAGTCTTCCATCAATCATGATATAAGTCAGAAATACACACTATTTCAGATCGGATAAAAAATACAGATAACTTTTCCTTCAATACCTTTGAAGAACTTTCAGAAAAACATCAATTCATACAAACTTTCTTTAAGTTCATGGATTAATATCTGCTATTCGCAAATATCTGCCGACCTCTTTATCAACAAATTTGAAACCAGTTATTTGCCCACTCTTACCTCCACATATGATTAGCATTTGTAACTTTTGGATCCAATTTTTTCATCAACATTCTTAATCAAAATGATATTATAGGTAAAGGTAGAGTAAAACGGCAAGAACAGTTCCTGTTTGATCAAAGATAATAGAATGAAATTGATACAATTCGGTATAAAATCACACAAAAAAATACTAGATATTAATGGCTTCAGTTTCAAATATCACACCATATTCTTACCACAAATTCGAAACTGTTCAAAGTAGGTGTAGTTGCTTGTCTACTGTGTTCATTTTTTAGTTCAGAAAGGGAAATTATAAATCACTTAATGTGGAAATACAAGGAAGTACAAAATATACTACAAAGTCTAGAAAGAAACACTCCTAGATGTTATTTATATACCTTTTTCAATCAACAAGCAATTCTCTTCCTATTCTGGTTTATTAATGATAGTCTTAATTCTGCTGTGGATAATGTAATCATTCTTATCATTAAACAATGTATCTATAGAAACAGATGTCTTAATAAGTCTTTAAATGTCAATGTTTTAGTCAACAATGTGAAAGATTACTATTACTTACAAAAGCCTATAGCAAATAGTAAAAACGACTTTTTGAAAGACAGAAATGGAAATACTTGGAGTAAATGGGAAAACTACACTCGATATCTAAGCATTTTCACCTAAATGTCCTTGACATTCCTCAAGTAACACAGCAAACAAAACAACCCCCACATCTTACATCTTCAAACTCATCTCCCCTTTCCTCTAGGTTAGCAATGTCTAATATTTTTCTATTATGTTGTCTTCACTTTCATTTCTCTACATATTGGATTCTGTGATATGCAAGTACATGTGTATGTAAATGAAGTATGTATTTGCATAATTTAATACACTGAATGTATTTTATGTGTGTAAGTATTCATGTGTACATGTCAGTATTAAATGTGTGTGGTGTGTTTATATGTGAACCACTATTAAGATGGAAATTACTAAATGGATTATACTGTGAATTGATTCATTTTGTATATAAGATGACTTGAAATTAGAAAATTAAGAAAAACAAGAGTTCCGCAAGCGTTACAAAATACGCCCGTCCTATGCTGAGCAACCACAATTGGATGAATTTCAGGCAGATAATTCCATTTAATTGCTTTTGCGTAAGTTATTGAGCGGAAACATTTTTTGTAATAAACCTTCATATGAAGTTTCAAATCAATAAATGAAAAGTTATTCAAGTTATTGAGGGGAAACTTATTTTGTAAATGTACCAAGGGCCATAAATCTGTAAATAATGGGCGAAAAACTTTTGTTATCGAACTTGACCTAGCTTTTATGGTAATAAACGTTCATATGAAGTTTCAAATTAATAAATGAAAAGTTATTCAAGTTATTGAGGGGAAACCTTTTTTGTAAATGATGGGCGAAAAAATGTTGTTATCGAACTTGACCTGGCTTTTATGGTAATTAACCTTCATGTAAGGTTTCAAATTGATCTATAAAAAAATATTCGAGTTATCGAACGGAAACCTATGTGCGGCCGTGGGATTTGCTCAGAGAAAACGGCTCCAGAACACTGACTTTCGTCGGTGAGACGATACCTGGACACGGGCGGAGTTACGGAGACGGAAATCCTGTCAACCATCAACCTTTTTCGGCGGAAACCAATCTCTCGATGTCTTCATTTGCATATACTCGTTTTCTCCTATAGTACTTGTTTATAGATTACATAGAAATGTTTGTGTAAGAAGTCTGGGCAGTAATACTGTATCTTTCAGTGTGTAATTATATGAAGTAAAATAATCAAAAGACGGGGGTACGCATGTGAAAATAATATTCATAATTCAAATTTACTAGACTTGGAAGTACAATTAGTATATGAATTTGTTTTAATTAATTTCATTTTTTTTTTAAATTTGACTGGTCATTGTACGTCGATGTTTTTTAATATACGTTTTGATATACATTGACTTGTGCCCTGGAACGAAAAGAAAACTAAATAAAATTTACTTCTCTGATGACTAAGGCGGATGTACCAGTTTGTTTCTATGAATGACCCTTTAATGGATATATCCGGAGACGTATTGTCATGTCGGTACAACACAGTAAAACGCGTGCCCTGGCACGGCCCTACCACACCATCACGGCCTAATATTACACCAATTATTTCCTTGTAGATGGTTGTGTTTATAAATAAGAATAAAGATAAATGAAAAGGGACATCGTGTCTCTTTAAAGATATAATAATCATTGACACCTCTTT